GAGTCACTAGTGGTAGTACCTCCCTGGATGTTTGCTGGCTGTATGACAGCACCATCATCAGAGTCAGTACGAGTCACTAGTAGACAATTTACGGTACAATGACTGGGCCCTCAACTGCTAGTCATCTTTGCCTTGCACCAGCCAACACACGATCTAATGCTGACTCTTTTCTGTTGTGTATACTGGCTAGGAAGGCAGTAAGCAGACCGTACCCGCTGTCTTGAAAAAGTGTCTTTCACTTCATTAAGTGCTTCCTACCCAGCCTTATCTATGGTTTTGGTGATATTTATATAAACTGTTTGATATATCTACTGGTACACTGGGTATGTGCATGAGTAGGTCCACACAAGACTGTGTGAGAGAGAAAGAGGAGAGAGAGAGAGAGGGAGGGAGGGAGGAGGGAGAGAAAGAGTCGAGACATAAAGGGAGGAAGAGAAAGAATAAAGTGAGAGAAGGGAAGGGGAAAGCTGAACATTAAACTTACATTAGTATTGCTATATTTTCTGGTGATCACTAGGAAGTCCAACTTCACTATGAGGTATACCTGTGACCACTTTCAAGGGCTTGTCTACTTTTGCAGCCCGGCTTTTGGCTCTGTTGATTGCCTGTTCAACCAGGCTGTTGCTGTAACCGGCCTGTTGGTTTACATAGCCAACATAACCAGGTTGATCTGGCTGTTATCTTCTGGTAGCAAACTGAAAAGTCTTGGATCACGAATGTTGGCGCAGAGTTCTCTTATTGTGCTCGTGGTTTCCATGCTTTTCACTATATTTGTTTTATTTACATTTCCTTCCATATCTCTCACGCCATGTATATATTATAAGGTATCTCTTGTCCACTACAGAGAGTATATTCCAGATACTTTGAGGCATTCCCAGTAGTTTAAATGCTTTATTGACTCTGTGTTATATTTCCTGTCATGAATGAAGACGTGCACATAGACCTGAGACTACAAGTGATTTCAGTAGTACCATCATTGACAATATTTCTCTTGCTTTGAACGTTCTCATTATCCATCCTGTAATTTTTCTCACCTTTTCTGCATTTGCTTCACTGTATTCTTTAAATTACAAATCAACTGACATTATCACACACACACACCAGGGGCCAGGAGCTCGGACTCGACCCGTGCAACCTCAACTAGGTGAATGTACACACACACACACACTATATATATATATATATATATATATATATATATATATATATATATATATATATATATATATATATATATATAATGTGCCCACGAACAAGTGGTATTGATCAATAACAACACTGCGACAAGCCAAGAACTCGAACCCATGCTGCTTTGGGTTCGAGTCCTTGACTAGTGTTGTATATATATATATATATATTATATATATATATATATATATATATATATATATATATATATATATATATATATATATATATATGCAATAAGATCACAGTAAACAGGTGATTTCAGAATATGCAAAACAACCACTCTGAAAGAATAGAGAAATTCCAAGCGCTTTCGTGACTACTCACATTATCAAGGAACTTGATAATGTGAGTAGTCACGAAAGCGCTTGGAATTTCTCTATTCTTTCAGAGTGGTTGTTTTGCACACACACACACACACATATATATATATATATATATATATATATATATATATATATATATTATATATATATATATATATATATACAAAACATGTCAATAACAGGGTAAGATATAAAGAACTATTCGAGGATAGATGGGCTAATGAGAGCATAGGCAATGGGGTCGAAGATGTATGGGGTAGGTTCAAAAATGTAGTGTTAGAGTGTTCAGCAGAAGTTTGTGGTTACAGGGAAGTGGGTGCGGGAGGGAAGAGGAGCGATTGGTGGAATGATGTAAAGAGAGTAGTAAGGGAGGAAAAGTTAGCATATGAGAAGTTTTTATAAAGTAGAAGTGATGCAAGGAGGGAAGAGTATATGGAGAAAAAGAGCGAGGTTAAGAGAGTGGTGAAGCAGTGTAAAAAGAGAGCAAATGAGAGAGTGGGTGAGACGTTATCAACAAATTTTGTTGAAAATAAGAAAAAGTTTTGGAGTGAGATTAACAAGTTAAGGAAGCCTAGAGAACAAATGGATTTGTCAGTTAAAAATAGGAGAGGAGAGTTATTAAATGGAGAGTTAGAGGTATCGGGAAGATGGAGGGAATATTTTGAGGAATTGTTAAATGTTGACGAAGATAGGGAAGCTGTGATTTCGTGTATAGGGCAAGGAGGAATAACATCTTGTAGGAGTGAGGAAGAGCCAGTTGTGAGCGTGGGGGAAGTTCGTGAGGCAGTGGGTAGAATGAAAGGGGGTAAGGCAGCTGGAATTGATGGGATAAATATAGAAATGTTAAAAGCAGGTGGGGATATAGTTTTGGAGTGGTTGGTGCTATTATTTAATAAATGTATGGAAGAGGGTAAGGTACCTAGGGATTGGCAGAGAGCATGCATAGTTCCTTTGTGTATAGGCAAAGGGGATAAAAGAGAGTGCAAAAATTATAGGGGGATAAGTCTGTTGAGTATACCTGGTAAAGTGTATGGTAGAGTTATTATTGAAAGAATTAAGAGTAAGACGGAGAATAGGATAGTAGATGAACAAGGAGGTTTTAGGAAAGGTAGGGGGTGTGTGGACCAGGTGTTTACAGTGAAACATATAAGTGAACAGTATTTAGATAAGGCTAAAGAGATTTTTGTGGCATTTATGGATTTGGAAAAGGCGTATGACAGGGTGGATAGGGGGGCAATGTGGCAGATGTTGCAGGTGTATGGTATAGGAGGTAGGTTACTGATAGCAGTGAAGAGTTTTTACGAGGATAGTGAGGCTCAAGTTAGAGTAAGTAGGAAAGAGGGAGATTATTTCCTAGTAAAAGTAGGCCTTAGACAAGGATATGGGATGTCACCGTGGTTGTTCAATATATTTATAGATGGGGTTGTAAGAGAAGTAAATGCGAGGGTCTTGGCAAGAGGCGTGAAGTTAAAAGATAAAGAATCACACATAAAGTGGGAGTTGTCACAGTTGCTCTTTGCTGATGACACTGTGCTCTTGGGAGATTCTGAAGAGAAGTTGCAGAGGTTGGTGGATGAATTTGGTAGGGTATGTAAAAGAAGATTAAAAGTGAATACAGGAAAGGGTAAGATTATGAGGATAAAAAGATTAGGTGATGAAAGATTGGATATCAGATTGGAGGGAGAGAGTATGGAGGAGGTGAATGTATTCAGATATTTGGGAGTGGACGTATCAGCGGATGGGTCTATGAAAGATGAGGTGAATCATAGAATTGATGAGGGGAAAAAGGGTGAGCGGTGCACTTAGGAGTCTGTGGAGACAAAGAGGGGAATGTATGAGAGTATAGTTTTAATAACACTCTTATATGGGTGTGAAGCATGGGTGATGAATGTTGCAGCGAGGAGAAGGCTGGAGGCAGTGGAGATGTCATGTCTGAGGGCAATGTGTGGTGTGAATATAATGAAGAGAATTCGTAGTTTGGAAGTTAGGAGGAGGTGCGGGATTACCAAAACTGTTGTCCAGAGGGCTGAGGAAGGGTTGTTGAGGTGGTTCGGACATGTAGAGAGAATGGAGCGAAACAGAATGACTTCAAGAGTGTATCAGTCTGTAGTGGAAGGAAGGCGGGGTAGGGGTCGGCCTAGGAAAGGTTGGAGGGAGGGGGTAAAGGAGGTTTTTGTGTGCGAGGGGCTTGGACTTTCAGCAAGCATACATGAGCGTATTTGATAGGAGTGAATGGAGACGAATGGTTTTTAATAATTGACGTGCTGTTGGAGTGTAAGCAAAGTAACATTTATGAAGGAATTCAAGGAAACTGGCAGGCCGGACTTGAGTCCTGGAGATGGGAAGTACAGTGCCTGCACTCTGAAGGAGGGGTGTTAATGTTGCAGTTTTATAAACTGTAGTGTAAAGCACCCTTCTGGCAAGACAGTGATGGAGTGAATGATGGTGAAAGTTTTTCTTTTTTCGGGCCACGCTGCCTTGGTTGGAATCGGCCAGTGTGTTAATAAAATATATATATATATATATATATATATATATATATATATATATATATATATATATATATATATATATATATATATATATATATTATGATAATAATTAGTAAGGTTAGAATTCGTGAAGAAATCGTCCAAGTCTTCAGTTGTCTTGGTGTTTCCTCAGTTTTTTCTTTGTGTTCGTGAAGTTCGTGCGGGCAGTGTGTCACTACTGGAAGATGTTTCTTTGTGTTCGTGAAGTTCGTGCGAGCAGTGTGTCACTACTGGAAGATGTTTCTTTGTGTTCGTGAAGTTCGTGCGGGCAGTGTGTCACTACTGGAAGATGTTTCTTTGTGTTCGTGAAGTTCGTGCGGGCAGTGTGTCACTACTGGAAGATGTTTCTTTGTGTTCGTGAAGTTCGTGCGGGCAGTGTCACTACTGGAAGATGTTTCTTTGTGTTCGTGAAGTTCGTGCGGGCAGTGTGTCACTACTGGAAGATGTTTCTTTGTGTTCGTGAAGTTCGTGCGGGCAGTGTGTCACTACTGGAAGATGTTTTTAATTTGGATTCTGTTTATGTTAAATATATTTAAGATGAATGTTTTTATTTTTGTGTTTCTTCCGTCGGGTATGAATGCTTTATAGTTTATACAAGTTGAGAGGAATTACAGGTGGTGGGTCGCACACCTTCATTGGAGAGACTGCTAATTGTATATAATAAACCATACCACGGGCGGGGTTAGAACCCGCGATCAGAGAGTCTCAAACCTCCAGACCGTCGCGTTAGCCACTGGTGTAGTATGGTTTGGTTGAAATAGTGTCATTACGATTTCGTGAGTCATTTTGTATATAATATTCTGTATGGGTGGTGTTGAGTCAGGTGGTCATGGTTGCAATTGTTTATATCACTGATAAGAATTATTAGAGCTTCTTCATGCAGTTTAAGTAGTAATGTAGCAACTGGATGAGGTATGTACTTGATAAATATTTCATAACTGGATGAAAGTGGATTAATGTTTTTGTATGTTGTTTCAGCCTGCGGAGTGTGGAACAGTTGCCACAGCCAGTGCCTGTTGCTGCTCCTGACATGCACCTTCATGGTGTCGCTGCTGGAGGCCTGGGGCACCTCATGCTCAGAGCTGTGAAGAGAAGTAAACGTGACAGGGAGAGAGCAGTTACCACAACGACGGTGCCCAGTGACGGAGAGTTGACTACCGTTAACGCCTCCGTCAGTAACCTCACCTCACCAGAAACAAAGAGAATGATGAAAGACTTGGACGGCACCATCACCAGCCTCCACGATGAACAACTAACAAATGGAGGAAAAATAAATAAAACTATTGAAGGTAGTGGGGAAGAAAGTATAAAAATGCGAGTGAGTGAGTTAAATAATAAAGGAGAGAGTGCTGTGATAAAAAATTCCGCAGATATTATGCTGGGGGACATGCCCAGTCGTGGGGTAAACGAGTCTAGAACTAGTGAGGGGGGTAAGGAAACTACGGTAATGACCATGCTGAGAGATGAAACAAGAACTAGTGCAGACAGGGCCGGGGTGAGGGCAAGTGACAAGTTTATGGAGAGTGGCAAAAAAGAGGCTGACCTTGCTGATGATATGATGAATCTCATGAAGGAGGAAGCTGCCAGTGAGGACCTGAGAGGAAATGTGGACGCTAACACCTCGGAAACTCCTGTTATTAACGACGATGGAAACACACTGTCCCCCTCTGAGGCTCAGGTTGGTAGGCAGGTCAAGATTTTTGGCCTCAGAGTGGAGGAACACATCAAGGGCATAGAATATGAAAACTTCACGAGCATCCTTCATGCTAAAGAGGAGGCCAAGATACGGTTGTTCGGTGAGGGAATGACGCTATCCACAGAGATTCTCTTTACAGCCGACGAGGGAGAGCTGGGTAGCACGTGCATCGTCCGGACCACCAGAGCCTTCAAGGTGTGTACCTGACTCACAAATTACTTTCTAAGCCTACATTTTCCTCTTCACGAACTTGGTCAAGACCTCACCATGATTACACGTTTTTGTTTCAGTACTTTTGCACAGTAAATGATCTCGTGTTTTGCAAACTAGATTCAATGACAAAGCTAGTTGTCGAAGATATTAATAATACTCAGGTAGTTGCAAGGGTTGATTTTTACAGCTCCTGAATCCTATCATTTTGTTATTGATCAGTTTTAAAGGTTCCTTGCTTCTTGAACATTATCACTGGCGAATACTTTACACTGACATTGAAGACTCATTAATGGGTCACATGTGAGGTACATTTGATTTTTTTAATTCACGTTAAATGCTAAATCCATGTGGGTCATTCAGCGCAACACGTGGTAGAGGTTTGATTCTCCGTCTGTTAAGCGCCGGACAAACGCGCTTCCTATTTATACTTACAGATACAGTTTTTAAACCAGTCTTTGTCTGGGTTCGTAAATGACAGATTTATGTTTTGAAGTTTAAGCTATGATGATGTTACTGTTTACGTTCACTGATGGTAATAGTTATTTCAGGATGGCTTCTGTATTGTTCCTCTTTGTTATTTGTTCTCCAGGTAGTAGTGTTCCTGCTCTCCCATCTTGTGACTTGGCTTTTGCTTGCCTTAAATTCCAGTAATCAATTATCTGATTGTTCATGATGTACATAGTCCTAGAGCCGTCGTTTTTACTTGTGTATGTGTGTACTCGCCTAGTTTTGGTTGCAGGGGTCGATTCACAACTCCTGCCCCCCGCCTCTTCACCGTCGCTACTAGGTCACTCTCCCTGCCCCATGAGCTTTATCATACCTCTTCTTAAAGCTACGTATGGATCCTGCCTCCACTATATCACTTTCCAGACTATTCCACTTCCTGAGAACTCTTAGAATGAAGAAATACTTCCTAACATCCCTGTAATTCATCTGAGTCTTCAACTTCCAATTGTGACCCCTTGTTTCTGTGTCCCATCTCTGGAACATCCTGTCTCTGTCCACCTTGTAGATTCCTCTCTGTATTTTATATGTCGTTATCATGTCCCTCCTATCTCCCCTGTCCTCCAGTGTCGTCAGGTCGATTTCCCTTAACCTCTCTTAGTAGGATATGCCCCTTAGCTCTGGGACTAGTCTGGTTGCAAACATTTGCAATTGCTCTAATTTCCTTACGTGCTTGGCTAGGTGTGTGTGTGTGGGGGGGGGAGAGGGTGTATGTAATCACCTATATGTGAGCGTGGTGGGGGGTTGGTGTAGTGTTTGTGCGCGCGCACTTGTGTATGCGTGTGACGTGGCGTGTGTGTGTACTCATCTATTTGTACTCATCTATTGGTGGTTGCAAGGGTCGATTCATAGCTCCTGGCCCCGCATCTTCACTGATCGCTACTAGGTTACTCTCTCCCTGCTCTGAGCTTTATCAAACCTCGCCTTAAAACTATGTATGGTTCCTAGTAGTATCTTCAGCAGGTGCTAGATCAACCTGGCTGTGATGGATATGTGGGGCAGCGGACCTCCAGCAGAAACAGCCTGGTTGACCAGGCAAGCACCAGACGAGCCTGGCCCATGGCCAGGTATATCATAGTTATATCAAAGGTATAAGGTATTCTTGCCTCCCCTACGTTACTTTCCAGACTGTTCCACTTCCTGACAACTCTATGACTGAAGAAATACTTTCTAACATCCCTTTCACTCATCTGAGTCGTCACCTTCCAATTGTGACCCTTTGTTTCTTTGTCCCATCTCTGGAACATCTTATCTTTGTCCACCTTGTCAATTCCTCGCAGTATTTTGTATGTCGTTATCATGTCTCCCCTAACCCTCCTGTCCTCCAGCGTCGTCAGGCCGATTTCCCTTAACCTTTCTTCGTAGGACATTCGCCTTAGCTCTGGGACAAGTCTTGTTGCAAACCTTTGCACTTTCTCTAATTTCTTGACGTGCTTGACCAGGTGTGGGTTCCAAACTGGTGCTGCATACTCCAGTATGGGCCTGACGTACACAGTGTACAGAGTCTTGAACGATTCCTTACTGGCGCCCATATGCTGCAGCAGTTATGTGGTTGATGTGCGCCTCAGGAGATGTGCTCGGTATTATACTTACTCCAAGATCCTTTTCCTTGAGATAGGTTTGCAGTCTTTGGCCACCTAGCCTGGACTCTGCGGTCTTCTTTGCCCTTATCCGATCTTCATGACTTTGTATTTAGCGGGGTTAAATTCGAGAAGCCAGTTTCTGGACCTGGCTTTCGGCGTGCCCAGTTCTCTTTATAGTCCTGGCTGATCTTGATCCGATTTAATTCTCCTCATTAACTTCACATCATCTGCAAACAGGGACACTTCTGACTCTGTCCCTTCCGTCATGTCATTCACATATACCAAAAACTACACTGGTCCTATGACTTACCCCCTTGTGGAACCCCGCTCGTCAAAGGCGCCCACTGAGACACGTGGGCGCCTCCCTGTCAGGTTTATCTCTGATCCATTACAGTGCCTTTCCTGTTATGCATGCCTGATCCTATAGCTTTTGCATTAATTTCTTGTGAGGAACTGTGTCGAAGGTCTTATTTGCAGTCCAAGAAGATGCAGTCTACCCACCCCTCTCTCTCTCGTGTCTTCCATTACCTTGTCATAAAACTCCAGTAGGTTTGTGACACAAAATTTCCCTTCCCTGAATCCATGCTGGTTGTTGTTTATAAGCTTGTTCCTTTCTAGGTGCTTCAAAACTCTCCCCCTGATAATCTCCACGATTTTCCATACTATACACGTCAATGACATTGGTCTGTAGTTTAATACCTCGTGTCTGTCTCCTTTCTTAAAAATTGGGACTACATTTGCCACCTTTCATACCTCAGGTAGTTGCCCAGCTTCAGTGGATGTGTTGAAGATTTTTGTTAGTGGCACATACAACGTCTCTGCTCCCTCTCTAAGGACCCACGGAGAGATATTTGGTCCCACCACCTTTGAGGTATCAAGTTCACATAGCTTCTTCAAGTCCTCGGTTGTGTGTATTTCATCCAGCACTTGTTGGTGTAACCCCCTATTCCGACTTCCTGGAGTCCTTCCTGTTTCTACTGTGAATATTTCCTTAAATCTCATGTTGAGCTCCTCACACACTTCTTGGTCGTTTCTTGTGAACACCCCACCTTCCTTCCTCAGTCTGATTACCTGATCCTTGACTGTTGTTTTCCTCCTCCAGCGGTCTGAGCAAAGTTCAGACAATTGTCCTTAAAGATTTGTTAAGTTATACCATGAATTAAGAAAATATCCTAGACTTCACCTTACGAAACAGACAAATCACTTAGGATAGTAATTATGGACAAGGTAGATTATAGTGGAAAAATTAATATATTATTTGAAGACAGGGATACTTATGTGCCCCTTAAGGCACCTTCTTCATTCACCCATTTTGGCTGTCCTTACAATAGTAAAAACTCGTCTTTGGTTAAGAAGGCTAGCTGCGAGTCTCTGCTCCTAGCTCTGCCTGTTCCTCCAGACTATTTTGAATTGGCTTCTTGTGCCACTTTATAACTACTCCTGAAGCTGTGTTTTGAATTGACCTCCACTATTTCTCCATCCAACTTGTTCCACTCTTCAGTCGAACTTGAGAGTAAAAGAAACATCGTAATTAACGTCCGTCTGGCTCATCTGTGTCTTCAGATTTTCACGTGTACATTTATCCCAGTTTAAACCTTCCTCCGCACAGTATATATAATATAAATCAGTAGTTCTCAACCTTTTAACCACCACGGAGCCTTTTTATTTCAATTAATTTTCTCCGGGACCCCAGGTTATTGAATGGTCTGTCTAGTCAAGAAGCCGATTTTATTAACTAGGAACAAACTCGTTTTCACAGTTTCATCTCTCAGTTGAAGACATACTTAACTGAGTATGTAATTAAATAAGTGACAGTATTAAAACAAACCTACTTGTTTGATGAGATAGTTGATGCTGCTTTGTTGAATTTCAGGTTCAGTAGCAGACAGTTTTAAGCGTAGATCAGGTTCCACATTCATCCTGTTTCTGTATTTTGATTTTATATAAAACATTAGTTGTGAGAATGCCTGCTCATATTAATATGTAGTGGGGAATAATATTAAACATCTCAGTGCTTTGAATGTCATTTCTCAATGAAACTTGACCATTGTTCGATGGATGTTTGGCATGTTCCATTCCCCAGCCCATAAAATAAGACCAACAGTTTAAAAAAAGCGTCTAAAAAATTATTTTAAGGAGTGTTTTGCGAGCAATGTGTAGCGGTAAGCATGGTACTGTGTGTGTGTGTGTGTGTGTGTGTGTGTGTGTGTGACATAGCTTGTCTTCATTCTGACGAAGAAAAAAGTTTCTCTGTAAAATGTCTCTTACTTTGTGTTAGTATTTATTTCATGTTTCCATGTGCCTCTTTAAATGGCATTTAGTATTTATGTGTTGTTTCTGTGCGCCTCTTTAAATGGCAATTGTTTTGCAATACTTATTGTTTATGTATTTCTAAATGCTTGTATTTAATTAACTTTTCATTGCCAGAACGCCGACTCACCGTATAGGTCAAAGAGCTTATAACTGTAACAACTTGCAACAACATTGTATGATACTTTGATACGAAAATTTTTCACGCACACAGTGGGCATTATGAAGTCAGCAGAGAGTATATAGGAAAGATGAGCATATATACAGGTACAAAGGAAGGTGAGGTGCAGGAAGCATCTCTGGGCGAGGGAACACTGCATGGTGTACACTCTCTACTACAGTATTTTCTTGGCTCTCGGACGCCTGGATAACTTGCAAGTACATGGTTTACGATAACGTTTTTGCTAACAAAACTACTCTGGTTTTGTGTAATAGTGTTAGAAAGTGCTGACGAGGAGAGATTATAAACATTTATCTCATTCTGTAATAACTAGCCTAGTATGTCTATTTCAAGCTGTGGGTGTCAGTGTCTCCAAATATATGCATTTTTGTTTTTTGTATTAGGCGTTCTGCATGTATATAGGT